GAGCAGCTGTTACACGGCACTGCCACGAAGACTACATGACGTGGGGCTTAGCTGGGGTGTTCCCAGCTTCTATGCACTTCTGAGTAGGTGATGAGGCCCAGGAGCTCCCTGGGGATAGAGGTGAACTGGGAATGCCTGGTCCCACAGCAGAAGAGTCCTCTGCAGGTCAAGCTTGCATTTAGTGTTATTGGACAGGCGCTTTAGTTCACCTTCCTTTAGTACACTGTGCGTTCTGGAGATGAGCATCTGTCTTCCCTTTCACGTGTGCCCGCTAGAGGCTGCCGAAGTGTGAACCCCCCTCAAGGAGGGGGGGGGGACGGGGGCTGTGGGATTGGGAGAGGCAAGGGCTGCTCCTGACAGCAAGACAGGCTCCAGCAGGGCAGGGGTAGAAGACACTGGCCAGCTGGCCTGAACTATCCCCGCCCGACCCTTGTTAAACCCATGGTTCATCCAGGGCCGCCCTACTCCTCCCTGTCTCCGTCAAGGTCAAGCAGGTTTGAGTTCAGTGGGCCCCAGCCCCTTAGCCCCTCTGTTTTCCCGTTCACTTCCTCCCGTAACCTGGCAGACCTCCAGGCATCCACTGAGCGTCCATCCACACCATCCAGGACTAAGGAGGACTAGAAGGATGAAGCTTTAACACCAGGCTATGATGTGTGGGTTTCACAGGTAGGAGGGAGAGGGCTCCCCAACCCATCTGAGGGGAGACCATCTGGGAAAGGCTGGAGGGCTGAGCTCTGTGGTGTTGGCTTCTCCCTGATAGCTGCACTGTCCACAGGGAAGCCACACACCTCAGACTACACTGGATGGGAGGTATTGGAAGGGCAAACACACAGCCAGCTGTGGAGACTTGTGCAAAAACAGGACAGAAAACAGGTCAAAACCCTCTTATACTGAATGCATGTTAAAAGACCACGTTAGGTATGTTTTTACATGCTACTTAATGTTACCTGTCTCTTTTGATGTGAAAATTTAAAATTTCCTGTGTATGTCTCACATAATTCTATGGCAGAGCTGATTTTAGTCTCACCAATATCCTTTAAAAACAAACATTTCTTTCTTCCCTGGGTAGTCCCACCTGTCTTCTGCTCTTGAGTCTTCTCAGGGCACCTTTTCTTCCTTCTTCGGGGCCCTCTTTCCCTCGGTCTTGCTGCCTCGCTCCTCCTCTTACTGTGTGTGATGATGGATGGAGGCTGGAGAAGGGGGAGCTAGTGTCTGCCCTCCCAGGCTCCAGTCTCTGGATACCCTGAAGCCAGTATTCATACGGCTGAGGGACCTGACTTATCCAGATGCTCATGGGAATTGATGTTTTAGGCAAATCTTCTCTGATAGACTTGGAGTCAGTCAGGAATTGTTTTTAAATTTTCATATTACTTTTCAAATATGTAGGTTGCAAAAATGTATGAGATGTGCATCGTTTACAAACTGCAATCTGAGATAACTTTAGCCAAACAACTAGCGTCTGCCTCTACTTTCTCCTCTGGAGTCAAATTCCCCAGGGCCCTATACTTCCAACTCTTTTGAGCTGGGCATTTACTTCCCAAATTATGTACATTATTATGTAAATTTCAAACTAAACCATTAGATTGCTATTTGTTTAACATTCCTGACCATTGCTTATGTTCATCACACTATTTTTTGTTCTAATACAGCTTATTATTTGCTTTATGGCTAGTATATATTGTTCATTGTTGAGCCAAGTAGTGTGTAATAATTACACTTGCTTGCATAACTTTTTATTTCCCTGGAGATGATCACCGCCCCCCCCTCCCCCCCCCCATGGCTGCCTTGCTTCTTATGGTATTTATGCAAATTCTTACAGAAGTCTCATTCAATTCCTTCAAATACTATTTCCATCTTCCTCTTCCCAGACAACCTTTCAGATTCCCCAGCCTGTTCAGAGTCCTGAGCAGCTGTATGCTTGGGAATATCCCACCTCTTCAGAGTATGGCCTCCTATTCGTTGCTTTTTTTTTTTTCTAAATATGTGTCAGTACCTCTTACAGAAGGAGGAAAGAAGGTTCATGTTTGGACCAGGCATGGTGGTGCATACCTGTAGATGTAACCGTTTTGTTAAATAAGAAACACAGAACCAATGCAGAGATGAAAGCCCAAGAGGTCAGAGCAATAGCTAAGAGCTAAAAACCTTACCCTTCACTGCCGCTGCTGTCCTCCTCAGCAAGAGAGCTACTTCCTGTGTGTTTGTCCTTTTTATTGACTTTCTATTCTGCCTTCTCATTGGTTGTAAACCCAACCACATGACCTCCTTGTCACTGCCCATCTGTACAGATCTCCAGGTCTTCTATGGTTGGTATTGAGATTAAAGATGTGTGTCTCCATGCTGGTGGTATCCTTGAACACACAGAGATCTGCCTGTCATGTGATCGGGATTAAGGGTGTGTGCTACCACTGCCAGACTTCTGATATGGCTTGCTATTAGCTCTGACCCCCAGGCAACTTTATTAACATACAAAAAAAATCACATTTCAGTACAAATAAAATATCACCATATTTCCCCTTTTCTATTTTAATAAAAAGAAAAAAGTTATAACTAATATAAGAAAAACTATATACAAAAGTACAATAACTATATACCATATATACAAGTAATAAATACCTAAATAATGTCTAGTCCATTTGTATTTGACCAATTCAGACAAAAAACTCCATTATATATATTAACAATGTCCAGTCCAGTAACATTTAATAAACTCAGACAAAAAAATTTTCATTACTTCTCTTATTTAAAACAAGCAGTTCCTTTTTAAAAGTATTTTTTCTTTTCATAATAGATTCAGTAATCTACCTTTTGTCATTTTTATATCTTCCCCTTTTTCTTTAGTGTAGATTCAGTGACCTACCCATTTATCCTATTATTTCTTTATCTTTTTTTTAAACAAAAACTCTGAATCTGATCTCCTTGTTCAGCTTTTTTTCTGACCATTAACAATTGACAACTTGTAACCAACAATCATAAACAATGACAATATCCAAAACTCATTAAACGACCAAAAACCTCCCATCCCACCTCTTGGGAATATGGGCATTGTTTTCTTAAAATTACTTCCTGCTTTCTGGGGGTGAAGACATCTTTAGGGAATCCTGAAAAGAAAATTTTGGGGTTAATTGTCAAGTCCTGTATCATTTGTCCAGTCGCTGCATAATGAGAAAGTGCAGGGCTTGTTTCGAGTTCTTGTTCAAGTAGTCTGTCAGGCTGGATCATCTCAGCCAGCCATCTCAAAATTGTCCTAAACAGTTTGTAGTTCAAAGTCGATATTTTGGTGGTGTTAATCAGCTTAATGGCTTTATCATAGTCCATGTGGAATCATTGTTGTGGGATCCTGTCATATTTTTGAAGATTTCAAAGTTGCAGTTACATGTGGTCTTGGTTCCCTGCACAATTTTTTTTTTTTTTTTTTTTTGCCTCCTCTGTGATTTGGAGCAATCACAGTCTGATAAATGTCTGTCTCTCAGAACCACAAATGTTTTTCCCTAGAAGAGAAAATCTTCACAGCAATTTCTCTCCACCATTTGTCTTGCCAAACTTTTCCAAAATGACCTTTGTCAATGCTTTCTTGTAACATCATGGTCCTGGCAATTCTTCTCTGAACCAGCAGTAGTAAACCCTTCGTCCTAGGTAGCAGCATCACTGCAGTCACCAACAGGATGAGAAGAGGCTGGCAACTTGGAGCAGCAGCCGATGCCTCCATAGTCCCACAGCTGCCACCGTTTGTGGCTAGGCTCTGGCCTTAGCTTCTCCTTAGCAAGCCTCCTAGACTGGCCTCAAAGTCGGGATCCTCCTGCCTCTTCCTTCTTCAGTAAATCCTACCGGCGTGCTCCACCACAACCGCCTGAGTGTAGCTCGGGCCTAAGCTGGGGCCCACAAGGCCACAGGCAAGCAGCTTTTTCATTAATTCATACCATGAACCTTGGGCGCCAGATGTAGCAGAAATCTTAAAAGGTTTTATTAATAAAAAGAAACCTGGAGCCAGGTATTGGGGTGAATGCTGGAAGATCAGAGAAGCAGAACAAGCCACAGCTACGTCACCTTGCCAATTCCTCAGCTGATGCTGTTTCCTCAGACTGGAAGCTTCTGAGTCCTCATCCAAAATGGATCTCAGCTGAACTGTGCTGCTCAAAGCCTAAAAGCTTAACCAGCCAAATGCTTAACCAGTCAAATGCTTCTAGTTTCTGGTCTCCACACCTTATATATCTTTCTGTTTTTGCCATCACTTCCTGGGATTAAAGGCTCACTTCCTGGGATTAAAGGCATGTGTCACCATGCCTGGCCGTTTCCAATGTGGCCTTGAACTCACAGAGATCCAGAGGAATTTCTACCTTTGGAATGCTAGGATTAAAGGCGTGTGTGCCACCATTTTCTAGTGTTTGTATCTAGTGTGTTCTGTCTCTGACCCCAGATAAGTTTATTAGGGTGCACAATATTGTGGGGAACACAATACCACCACACATACCTATAATCCTAGCACTCTGGAGAGAGAGGCAGGAGGATCAAGAGTTCAAGGTTATCCTTGAACACAGTAAGTTCTAGATCAGCGATTCTCAGCCTTCCTAATGCTGCGACCCTTTAACACAGTTCCCCATGTTGTGGTGACCCTCAACCGTGAAATTGATTTTGTTGTTGCTTCATAGCTGTAGTTCCGCTACTGTGGTGAATGGTGATGCAAATATCTGAGATGCAGATGGTCCTAGGCGACCATCAAAGGGGTCCTGACCCATAGGTTTAGAACTACTGTTCTGGACAATGAGCTCACAGACCCTTCAGCTGCCTCTCTCTGCCCATCAGTCTGCCCCTCAGGACAAAGGGCTGGCAGGCGCCTTGAGAGCACACAGCCCTCCACAGAGGGTGTTGGGGCGGTGGCTGTGTGTGGGGCAAGCCTAGCCTTCCCCTCTCAGCTGTCCAAGTCCAAGGCAAGTTTAAACCATAGCCACAGTGCCTCCCTGACTTCTAATTCCTGGCAAGTAGGCCAGGCTAGACCATGCGATATGGAGTCCGTGCACCTTTTGAATACCTGTAAGAGTCAGAAGCGCTCTTAGTTCTCGGGATTGGAAGGTCCCACAATGCTGCCTATGCAGTGGTGCTGTATCTCTTCCTGTGTGCTCCCATTTCAAGCCCAGTCATGGCCCCCATGGTTGCAGGGCTCTCTCTCCCAATAAAGCTCACCTGAAGGGCAATTTCACATCAGTTCATTTCTATTGACTCTTTAATTTATGAGAGTTAAAATTTAATTTTACCTGTTTTGATATGAAAAGTTAAAATTACCTGTGTGTATCTCACACAGTTCTGTGGCAGAGTTGGCTTTAGTCTCACCAATATCTGTTAAAAAACAAAACAAAACAAAATAACTCCATCTTTCTTCTTTCCAACAGAGGCTAGCCTGGGCTACACGAGACCCTGTCAGGCCCTCACAGTTGGTTAATGGTTTGTTCAGACAGAATCCCAGCACTTGTGTCTAAGTCCTGCCCCAAATACCTGGAAGGCACTTGGGGCCTCTACGGATTTTTAATCTTCTAATATCTAATGATCTAATATTCAACTTGTGACTGTTTGCAGATCCGTGTACTCTCCCTCCGGAGGGTTCTAGAACTGCCTCTGTCTTTATTGATTGCACATTTCATCGTATGTCCTAGTGTGCGGTTCTTGTCACCACTGTTGGCCACTGAGACCACCTTTCCTATCTGGAAAAGCAGACCTTCCGTCTGGGATGTATTGCTTAAAAGGTTTCCCCCATAATCCTCTCCTCAGTATCTCCGCTGTCCTCTCCCTTACAAGTGAAGTTCAGAGTTCTGTCTCATCTGCATCCTGGGAAGTGTTCTCGGCTTGCCCTCCGGAGGGCCCTCCTGTTCAGCTCCAGATTTTACCCCGTGTGATTTTAATTTCCAAGCTCTTCCCATCTTTGCCACTGATCCTTGTGAGAGCACTTCCTGTTGTTACAGATCCTATATCTTATTTCACAAAAGACATTGAAAATTTTTTTTTCTGGTCCTTGTATTATCTCTCTTCTCTTGGATTTTCTTTTTCTTTCTCATATCAAAGTCGATATGTTCTCTCCCTTCACTTTTTGCCTTCTTCCAAAGACTGGTCTCCCTTGGGCAGCCTGATTACGTCAGAGTAGGTCACTAAACGTTGTTTAGAAGCTCTGTGCACACACAGGAGAAATAACTTTCCAGCGAGTGGGCTTCAGGATACAGAGGCTGCTGGGGAGCTAGGCATTTTATTGGGGTGTTCTGAACCACAAGCACCTGTAGGGCACTTCCGGGGCCAACGACTTCCTTTGAGAGAAGCAGCCCCAGCTTCCAGCCCGGCGTACCTGTGTTGAGGGCAGAGCTCTCATATCTGGGGACAGAAGAAAGTGGGGTTCCAAAGTCCCATCGACTTGGGTAGATCTTCACCTGGTCCTGCCTCTGTGCCCAGTGTCCCTCCCCCATGCACTGGGACCTTTCCGGGAGACTAGGAAAGGGGAGGAGCTGTGCCTGTAGCTGCCCAGGGAGCAGGCCTAGCTTCCCTCTCTTAGTCTCATGCTGTCTCTGCCTTCCAAAGCAGCTGCTGCCTCCATTCCTGGCCCTTCAGCCTCACAGGGCATCTGCCTACCGCTGGTTGACTGACCTTGACCCTTTGGTAGGTGCTAGGTTTCCGATTTCTCAGTTTTGCTAATTCCTCCATCTGCTTTCCAAATTCTGCTGACATCTGTTGTCTGCTGATGTCACCTCTCCTGTTGCCTCTTTCTCTACCTTTTTCTTACCCTTCTGCTCTTACGTCAGTGAGTCTGGGGAAGAGACAGATGTGTGTTGAATCTACTAGGTGTTTGTGTGTGTGTGTGTGTGTGTGTGTGTGTGTGTGTGTGTGTGTGTGTGTGTGTGTGTTTTGTTTTTGTTTTTTTTGAGAGAAGTTTTCTCTGTTTAGTCCTGGCTGTCCCGGAACTCACTTTGTAGACCAGGCTGGCCTTGAACTCACAGAGATCCGCCTGCCTCTGCCTTCCAAGTGCTTGGATTAAAGGTGTGCACCACCACCACTTGGCTGAATCTATCAGTTTTAACAGGAATTCCCCTGAGGGTCTTTCTGTAGCGTCAACTCTGCTGGCTGCCTCGTGGGAGGACTTCTCTAGTGCTGATGCTGTGTTGTCCTTCTGGGCATCTGCAAAACTTTGTGATTAAACTCAATTCTATTCACAAAATACTGGAGCCTCAGTTAGATATAACTGGAGTCCAGTTTATACCTGGATTTGTTTGCTTCTAAGTAAAGTCTAATTTTATAGTAAACAGATTGATATTTTATTTTTTGACTAAACTTTTTTATTTTGTCCCCCTACCCCCTTTTTTGAGACAAGGTCATTTCTACATAGCCTTGACTGTCCTAGAACTCACTATGTAGCCCAGGCTGGTGTCTGCCTCCCGAGTTCTGGGATTAAAGGCCTGAGCCAACAACGCCAGGCTTGATCGGTATTTTAAAAGGTCATTTTCTGTGATCCCTCCTAGTTTAAAACTGCAACACAAAATTTCAGCTGCTTATGATGGACTAGAACTTGTTCCGTAAAACCAGGACTTGGCTAAGTCGCCCTGAATTTTCTCTACGTGCACATAAAAAAATTGCATGGAAAGAGTCTAATTCAAGAAAGCCAAGCCGGCTTTAGGGGCCGTTAAACCCCTTTAACACGTGTGCTATTTATAAAAAGGCTGCTTCTGTGTTCATGAAAACAAACACTCTTCCCCTGCTAACGCACCCAGAACCTTTACTTGGGAGCGTTAAAGATGGTGGCACACCATCTTTGGGTGTTGGGAAGGTCTGGCCTTTCACCAGCTCCAGGTTGCCCAGGGGCGGGGACCCCCTGCTCAGGTGAGAGAGCCCTTTGCAGGTCCTCACCGAGACCTCTTTGTCTTTTGCCTCTACAGGTGCCCCCTTTCAAAGGTCTCAGCATCCTCACGCTACCTCCTGCCGCCACTTCCACCTGGGTCCCCCGCAGCCGCAGCAGCTAGCCCCGGACTTCCCGCTGGCCCACCCCGTGCAGTCGCAGCCGGGCCTCAGCGCCCACATGGCCCCGGCCCACCAGCACAGCGGCGCGCTGCACCAGTCGCTGACCCCGCTGCCCACCCTGCAGTTCCAGGACGTCACAGGTCCCTCCTTCCTACCTCAGGCCCTGCACCAGCAATACCTGCTGCAGCAGCAGCTCCTGGAAGCTCAGCACCGCAGGCTCGTTTCGCATCCCAGGTCGGCAGGGGCGGGGCCGAGGAGAGAGGGCGGGGCCGCGGAGGGGGAAGGGCTGGGACAGGGCTTACTTCAACTTTGGATGCTGTCGCAAGTGGTTCTTCAGGGGGTGGCTTTTGCCTCACTTAGTGGCATTCATTCAGGTCAGAGTCTACTATGACTCCTCACATCACCCAGGTTCAGGGTCAGCGGCTTGGTAAGCAGTGACGCTTACCAAACAGTGAATGTTTGCAGCATAAGAGATTTGACTAAAGGTTTCTCAAGTCCCTTCCAGCTCTCATGGTGGCCTGATTCTGATTTTCCCCAAACCATACCAGAATACCAAAGGTATATGACTGGTTCTAGCTCTAGCCTCCAAAGGGCCAACGTCTAGTTGGAGGCTAAAGTTGGAGACTGGCTGTACACCATGAAACCGAATTAAATTAACAGTGATCAAATGTCCTGATGTGGCGAGTCAGTACCCTTCTCTGAGCCTCAGCTGTAAAGAAGAAGAAGAAATGGATGAGCACAGCTGGGTGCCTCTCAGTCTTCTGGGTTTCAGGGCCCTTTTCACACTCAAAAGTTAATGACTGCGAAGAACCTCTGCTTATATGGGTTTACCAAGTTAGAAATTTTAAAGTATCTATTAATTCATTAAAAATAACAATAGACTCCTCGTGCTAAATTTGTAAAATGTTCTCTTTTTAATTTTTAATTATTTTCCTTTTATTGAAAATAGATTTTTTTTTCTCATATCATATATCCCGATTACGGTTTCCCTTCCCTCTACTCCTCCCAGTTCCTCCCCATTCCCTTTCTGTCTCTCATTAGAAAACAAACAGGCTTCTAAGGGATAATAATATAATATAATAAAATGTAATAAGATAAAACAAAAAATAAGTCAGAATTGGAACAACAGCAGGAACAAAAGAGCCTAAGAAAAGACAAAGGATCAGAGACCCACTCAAGAATCCCATAAGAATACTAACCTGGAAGCCATAATACATATGTGGTAGTGCAGACCCAGTCAGGCTCTGTGCACGCTGCCTCAGTTTGTGAGTTCATACGAGCTTTGATCATGTTGATTTGAGGGCCTTGTTCTCCTGGTGTCTTCCATCCCCTCCAGCTCCTCAACCCTTTCCCCCTACTCTTCCTCAGGGTCCCTTTAGAGCTGTGTGTTCCAAAGTCTGTGTGTGTGTGTGTGTGTGTGTGTGTGTGTGTGTGTGTGTGTGTGTGTGTAAATGTACCACCTTTTCTTTATCCATTCTTCTGTTGAGAGACATCTAGTTTGTTTCCAATTTCTGGCTATTATGAACAAAGCTGCTATGAACATGGCTGAGCAAATGTCTCTGTGGTATGATGCAGCATCCTTTGGGTATATGCCCAAGAGTGGTATACCAGGATCTTGAGGTAGATTGATTCCCAGCTTCCTGACGAACCACCACACTCATTTCCATAGTGACTGTACAAGTTTGCACTCCCACCAGCAATGGAGGAGTGTTCCCCTTACTCCACATCCTCACCAGCATGCGCTGTCACTTGTTTTGTTGATCTTAGCCACTCTGACTGGTATGAGATGGAATCTCAAAGTAGTTTTGATTTGCATTTCCTTGATGACTTATGGATGTTGAACATTTAAGTGTTTCTCAGCCTTCGAGTTTCCTTTACTGAGAATTCTGCTTAGATCTGTACCCATTTTTAATTGGAATTTTTTCTTGATAACTAGTTGTGTTTTTTTTTGTGTGTGTGAGTTCTTTATATATTTTGGATATTAGCTCTCTTTCTAATGTATAATTGAAAAAAAAAGTCTTTTTCCATTCTATAGGCTACTGCTTTGTCCAAAAAATAGTGTCCTTTGCTTTACAGTAGCTTTTCAGTTTCATGAGGTCTCATTTATTAATTGTTGATCTTAGTGCCTGTGCTATTGGTGTTCTGTTCAGGAAGTTGTCTCCTGTGCCAATGGGTTCAAGGCCGTTCCCCATTTTCTCTTCTGTCAGGTTCAGTGTATCTGGTTTTATGTTGCAGTTCTTTTATTTTTGGTTGTGAGCCTAGCCTTTAACAGCTGAGCCATATCTCCAACCCTTATGTTGCAGTTCTTGATTCTCTTGGAACTGAGTTTTGTGCAGGATGATAAATATGAATCTATCTACATTCATCTACATGCAGACATCCCCAGTTATCAACACCATTTGTTGAAGATGATGTCTTTTTTCCAGTGTGTATTTCTGGCTTCTTTATAAAAAGTCAGGTGTCCATAGGTGTGTGCACTTATGTCTGGGGTCTTCATTCAATTCCATTGATCAATGTGTCTGTTTTTGTGCCAGTATTCTTCTGTTTTTATTATTATAGCTCTGTAGTACAATTTGAAATCAGGGATATGGATAGCTCCTGCAGTTCTTTATTATTCAGGATTATTTTGTATTTTCTGGTTTTTTTTTTTTTTTTTT